CCTAGATTTTTCTTTCTTTTACATCCAAAGTCTTTTCTTAATCAGAAAATAAAAAAAATAAAAAAAAACCACTTAACAAAATACGACGCGTGTAGTGCGTCACGAGTCTTAAATACATGGGGAATGATGAGCAGGAATTTCTTCTTACCTCTTCTAGAGTGCTTTGTGCGCGAGCCATCTCGGATCGCTTGTGAAAAGCATTCGCTCCTATGTCATAGAATTTAGTGCAATACGCATCTCAAACTCTTTTCAAAACCCTAACAAAAACACTTTCACAAATTCAAATCATTTTCTCCTTCGGGATTCCTTCAAAACCATTTTCAAAAAGGGCATGTTATTTCCATTCTACCGCAATACAGGTAACGCATAAGACTCCATGAGCGAGCGGCAAAACACATAACTACTAGAGCGTGAACGTTAGTATTGTCTATAAAAAAAACACCAAAAAATTGTAGTCTCGTGAACTACGGATGCTCTGATTCCTCATTCTCTAATGAGGATACGTAGGCACAAGGATCCATATCCTTGGCGAGCTCACTAACAACTAACTGAGCCTTTTCTCTCGCCCAGTGCGATCAAAACTTTTTCTCACTCGTAGTCCCACGAACTACAGACGCTCTGATTTCTCATACCTGTTGAGAATACGTAGGCACAAGGGCCACAATCCTTGGCGAGCAACCTTCTCTTTCACCTGTAGTCCTCCAAACTATGTTGACTCTGACTTTCCCTTTACACGAGGGAATACGTAGGCATATGATTATGAAATCTTATCGAGTCTCTTTTTCTTTTTTCTCCCTTTTCATTCATGCATTCCCTTAGCAAGCTAAGCTTTAGATTTATACACCCTTAGATTTAGAACAACAATAGTGGATCTCGTTGAGTACAACGGACGTGAGAGGTGCTACCACCTTCTTCTTGCGAATCGACTCCCGAACCCCGAACTTGGTTGTGATGACCTTGTTCTTTCTCTTCTGAGGTTTTCTCGATGTTTTCCTTTCCCCGTTGGGATAAATAAAGTTTGATGGCGACTATGTGTCTTCGTCGGTTGTTTTTCGCGTAGCGACAAGTATGCAATTCGAAGGAAGCTACGAGAGTTATTTTATAAGAGTTTGATGAAGTTGATAATTCTTCAGTCTTTGAGCATGTACCTTCATATTTAAGTAATTGAACTAATTCGTTCAATTTTTTTAATGATTTCCTCTTTCTTTAGTTTTTCCTGAAATTTACGAAGCATTTCCATCTTTTGATTTAAGGATTAGATTGTGTTTCCAATTCTTAATTCTTAGACATTTATTAGTGACAAACATTCCAATACAATTTTTAAAAATTCTTAACTTTGAAAAACATTGATGAATAATATCTTAATCTTTTTGTCTTGTGTGTTGATTTCCTCTTGTTTGATACTTTGGAGAAACACCATATATCATCTCAAGAGTATCTCATATTTCCTTGGAGGTTTTACATTTATAGATATAAATAAGTTTATTATCATCTAAAGTCATTACTAAAAGATTTTTTTCCTTTGAAATCAATTTCATATTTTCTCTTTTCTTCTACGGTACAAAGAAAAATGGGTTTATCTATTACTTCTCCATCTACTTGGCGAGTAGGGATATACAAACCTTTGATTATAATTTCCCACAATTCAAAACTAATACTTTGAATAAATATTTTAATCTAGCTTACCATATTTATAACCTAAAATTGTTAAACGGTAGAGTCGTGTTTAGGAAAGATCTTTTAATTAAAAATGTGTTGGAAGTCATCTTCCTCCTGAGATGATTAGTTCTTAAATAGGAGTTAGGCACTGATGCTACATGTTGAACATATGACTCCACACACAATAGGGGGTGAATTGTGGATTTCAGAAAAAATTATAGTTTGAAAAACTTTTAGGAACATTTTCTTAGTTTAGATTCATTTCAAAAAATATTTTAGAACCTAAGATATGTTATACAGTGGCTATCTCCAACATTAACAAGTTTTTTAACCGGGTTGAGCCTATGGAATGAATCAGGGTTTTTACCAAGATAACCATGAACCAATGTGAGATTTTATATCGGGCAGATCTTGAATCGAGGAAAACTTTTGAACATGTTGAGCTTTTGAATTGAAATGGTGACTTAGAAACTAAATCTCGAAACTAAATATTTTAAAGGGTTTAGCTTCGAACCCAAATAAACAATTCCTTAATGGATAAATTATTCAACCAAGATAAAAACGTTCCTTGGTGAATTTACAATGTTACCCTTCTAGAATTCCTTGGTGAATTCAATATGAGAAAAGTTACTAGATTTTATCGTGAGTCCCTTGTTTATCCCTTATTGATTTTTTGGACATTAGATGAATGGTAAAGTTGTTATATTTTTACGGCGAATTAACAAAGTCACTATACTCATTCCTTTGGTGTATAGCTCACTAATTCCTACTAGTGACTTTCTATCCCTATTAGGTCAGAAAAAGTGAAATTAAGTGTTATTATAGTGTGTTAATTCAAAAGCCATTACTAGTGGTTTCATATCCTTATTCAATCGACGAAAGTAGACTAATTATCCTAGTTCAGAATCATAGGCTTAGGGTTAGTAATCTCTACTCATCTAAGTTCATATTATCAACGCTTCCATAAATAATAAGCATTAAGAATAAGGATAATGAAATAGAAAATATATCTTTAATTATTCATAAAACATCAAACTAAACATATAACCCAACATGTTCAAAACAAGTTCATATTTTCTCTTTTCTTCTATAGTTCAAAGAGAAATGGGTTTATCTACTACTTCTCCATCTACTTGGTGAGTAGGGATATATAGACCTTTGATTATAGTTTCTCATAATTCAAAACGAATACTTTGAATAAATACTCTAATCTACCTTACCGTAATTATACCTTACCGTATTTTAATTAAAAATGTGTTGGAAGTCATTTTTATCCTGTGATGATTAGTTCTTAAATAGGAGTTAGGAACTGATGCCACTTGTTGGACATATGACTCCGCACACAATAGTAGGTGAATTGTGGGTACCAGAAGAAAAAAATATATAGTTTGAAAAACTTTTAAGATCATTTTCACAGTTTAGATTCATTTCAAAAAATATTTTAGAACCTAAGATATTTTATACCGAGGTTATCTCCAACATTAACATGTTTTTTAACCGGACTGAGCTTACGGAATGAATCGGGGTTTTTACTAAGATAACCATGAACCAATGTAAAATTTTATATCGGGCAGATCTTGAACCGAGGAAAGCTTTTGAACAGGCTGAGCTTTTGAATTGAAATGGTGACTTAGAAACTAAATTCCCAAACCAAAACTTTTAAAGGGTTTAGTTTCGGACCCAAATAAACAATTACTTAATGGATAAATTATTCAACCAAGATAAAAATGTTTCTTGGTGAATTTTCAATATTACCCTTCTAGAATTCCTTGGTGAATTCAATACGAGAAAAGCTACTAGATTTTATCGTGAATCCCTTATTTATTTTTAGTGCATTAGATGAATGGTATAAAGTTGTTATATTTTTACGGCGAATTAGCAAAGTCAATATACTCAATCCTTTGGTGTATAGCTCATTAATTCCTACTAGTGACTTCCTATCCCTATTCGGTCGGCAAAAGTGAAATTAAGCGTTATTATGGTGTGTTAATTCAAAAGCAACTACCAGCGGTCTCCTATCCTTATTCAATCGATGAAAGTAGAGTAATTATCCTAGTTCAAACTTATAGGATTAGGGTCAGTAATCTCTACTCGTCTAAGTTCATATTATCAACGCTTCCACAAATAATAAGCTTAAGAATAAGGATAATAAATAGAAAACATAAATTTAATTATTCATAAAACATCAAACTAAACATATAACCCAACAGGTTCAAACAAGTTCATCAGGCATAACCTAATCTAGAATAATTTAGCTACTCATAGTAATACAGTCAAATACCAAGAATTGAGAAGATGATTGCATGTGAAATTCTTGAATAGTTTGGCATTCAATGGCTTCCAATGCTCTCAAAACTGCCTTCATGGGATTTTCGAGTAAAAAATGTAGAACCCTTGAAAAGATGAAAAAAATTTCCTTTTAAAGTTGCCAGAACGCACAAGAAAAGCCTAAAACAAAGGCCTATCGCGCTCACGATGAGAAGTTTCGCGCCTACGACGACTTCTATCGTGTCCACAGTGGTGTGCGATGCAATACCATCATTCCCATGACGGGGTGCGAGAAATACAGTAGTTTTTTGTCCTTTTGTGTCTTTTTTCAACAATTTTTACTAAATCCATATTTTCTCCACCCTTGGTCATTCTAAGAACTTCTTTAAAACTTTTGCTTCATATTGAATCCATATTTGATTGGAATGCCTCCAAATTCTTGTTGAAAATATGTAATGAAAGAGTGTCATTAGTGTACTACTCCTTTAACTTTTTCTTTTGCTGTAACACTTCTCCGCTTTCGAGAATTTGTGTCAACACGGAGGGTTTAAGCTTCACCCTATCATTTATGAAATAGTAATAGAAAATAAACCTTCTCGAAGATATCATTTATGAATTTGTAGTGCAAGGAAAATTACATAATAGAAGTTTTACATAAACAATTCAATAATTCAACATAATGGAGCGACTTAATTGTAGTAGCGCTTTATATTATCAGAACATCACTATTAAACCCTTAAATAATTTTCTAACCAAATAATTTTGTAATATGATTTTTTTAATGAAATGAATTGATTGCAATATTATTTTATCATTATATTAGTTGACAAAGTTATTAGATGGATAATATTCCCCCTTTGAAGTTTTAAAACAATCACAACGAAACTTCCAATAAAAATTTTAAATATGTTTTATTAGATTTGTCACACAAGTCATAGTCATGTGCTTAGTGATTAAGAAATTGGATAGATACACGCATTAAATCATAGAGTATATTCAAACTTTATATGTTATATATTATTTTATATGATCATATATCTTATAGAGTGAGATTTGGACAATCATAAACCAAGATGGCCATAAAAAAATTCAACTTTTGTTTTCTAACTCTCTTTCTAAGTTATGGCATGCTAATTCCAACACAGTCTCTTGGTAATATATGTTTACCAAAAGAACATGTTGCACTATTTGTCTTTGGAGATTCGTTATTTGATGTTGGAAACAATAATTACATCAATACTAGTACTGAAAATCTAGCAAATTATTCACCATATGGTGAAACATTCTTCAAGTATCCAACTGGTAGATTTTCTGATGGACGTGTGATTCCAGATTTCATAGGTACTTTATCTGTTAATTAATTATTACTTTAATGGTTTTCAACTTACATATATTTCTTTATCATTGCAGCTGAGTATGCTAAGTTGCCGTTAATTCAACCATATCTGTTTCCTGGTTCACAAGAATATGTTAATGGAATCAATTTTGCATCAGCTGGTGCTGGAGCTTTAGTGGAAACTCATAAAGGACTGGTCTGTTTTATTTTGCTAACTTTAATGATGTTGCAATTGTTTGATACTGTTATATTGTTTACTAACTTTTTACCGACACGTGTGTTACAAAACTCACTTGGACTTTAACAAAACTCACTTTTGGACTAAACATGTATGTATAGTCTATAGACCATGTCTACACATTTTTATATTTACATAAAATATTATTTTACATTTGACATATTATAAAGGGCGTGTGATCCGGATTTTTTTATTGTCTTTCTTGAGTTTATTTGATCGAAAAATAAATTTGCAAACACTTTAACAATTTAGTCAATTGTGTGACAACATTAAATATAAGTATAAGGTCTTGTGTTTGAGTTTGAATTGTTCTTTTACTTTATAGTGGGGTATTAGGGTTTAGAGATCCTTAAAACTTTTTTAAGGGAGTATGACATGATCTCATATGCCTCTATGGAAAGATCACTTTATGATCTCGAGGTTCTAGATCATTCTTTGGGTGATATTTGTCTCATAGGGTATGTCAAAGGATCTAATAGCCTCTGCAAATCGATCAACTTTACTTTGAACAGTTAGTGTGTGTATACCTCGCGATTTGCCCCATCTTATGAGACTTGGTGACCTAATACTAAAAGGTATGATGAGCTTTGATTTGGATCAAAACATTTTCCCCTAACCATCAGCTGATGGAGTTGGATTATGACTCGACTTAAACTCCTTTAGGTCAGATCATCTTTCCTTGGATGGTGGAATTATTATTCTGATTCTTTATGGGACCTATCAAGATGATTTCAATGAAGAGCCTTACGTTGTGTATAGTTTTTTTTTTACTTATTAGAGATCCCAAACATCCAGTCAAGGTATGTTGTTACTCCATTTTTTGGTCATTTGTTGTTATTAAATTGGAGTTTATTCGTACTTTTCTTTTCTTTTTAGTGTGTCGGCAATAAATTTAGAAGTAAATAGCATAGCGCGAGACATGTGTTGATTATCTTGGGAATCATAAATGTAATTATGTTTTTAAAGGGAGGTAAAGCCTTTCCGAATGGAACGACCTCCATCCATAGATTTCTTTGCTGACCTCTCAAACCTCTAGCTGACGGTTGTTTATTTGGAAGGTGTTATGATTCTTCATGGCACTCAATGATGTTTTTCTATCGATACTTGGCTTGATCATTGTGGTTCTATTGGTAATAAGATTTCTAGGATTTCTCAATGGACTTATATGGGTGTCATACATAACTTCCTAAGGAGTCGAGATATTGTGTAGGATCTTAAGGTTACATATTATATTGTTTGTTGATGGGGTGTGTTGTGTCATCTCATCTCTTTGACATTCCCTTCTTTGCCACGTGGGGTATAACCATGGATGTAGTAGTCCAAGGGTAAGGTGCACATTTAATGACTCCTTCTGAAGGTGTGGTTATTACTTCATGGAGGAATGAGACTATTATCACTATTATGTGGCACTTTCGTTTCGGCCCCTTGACGACCCTCTGAATCTCTAATTTAGAGTTGTTGGATCTGGCCCATTACAACATTATTTACTACATTTTCCTTTTATTAGGTTGACTTAAAAAGGAAATTTTATTTTTTTCCTTTATTTCTTTTTCTTCTCAGTTTATCTCATCTCTCGAACTTTCCTATTTCTCATGTTTTCAATTTTGGAATATTTTTCTCTTTGACCTTTATCTTTGCATTGGACTATCATTCGGTCAATTTTATACTATTTCTTTTCCCTTCATTGGTGATTTTTTTCTATCTATCTTACTCCTTTTATCCTTCATTCTGAATTATCCATTTTTTATCGCTGTTGTGTATGTTATCTTTAACTACTTCATATTCTCCCTCACTCGTGGTGGTTCTAAGTGTTTTATTTTGCACTATAGTTTACAAGAAATCCCATTAACAAATATTTTTTCGTCGTGAATGGTGGTGCAACCTTATGCATAAGTTGTATATCTCTCATTCCATTATGAGAGATAAAAATGGTTACAATTTATAAGAGTAGGAAAAATCCCATAAGTTTTCTTAGTTTGTGACTTTATAGGAGTTCATTATTCAGGCCTTCAAAGGGAAAAACCACATACACAATCTTAGCAACATCTTTCTCCATGTCCAGCCACCTAAATATTTTCTTAAGGTCTTTATACATATTTGTATCTCCCATATGGATATTCAAGTTACTCCCATGACTTTCTTCAAAAATGAACTTCTTAAGTTCTGGTATATCTGGCACATAAATTTTATCCCAAAATTTCATAATTCCATCATTACCTATATTAAAACCCATTTATTTTTCTTAATTTATTAGTGTTAATTGATCCAATAAGTGTAAATCCAACTTATGACCATCTTTACAATGCCTCCAAATCTTAACACAAAAACCACTGCTGCTAATTCCAAATTATGGGTAGGATAATTCCTTTGACGAACCTTAAGTTTCCTAGAAGCATAAGTTATAACTTGACCTTTCTTCATAAGCACACAACCTAGACCTGACTTGGATGCATCATAATACACCACAAAATATTCACCCAAACTTGGAAAATTTAAGACTGGTGTTAACGCCAATCTCTTCTTAAGATCTTGAAAACTCATTTCACACTGAGCATCCCACAAAAGCTAGGCCCTTCTGGGTCAACTTCGTTAAAGGCGTTGCTAACTTTGAGAAATATTCAATGAATCTTCTATAATAACTGGATAATCCTAGAAAACTTATGATATCAGTTACCGTCTTAGGCATTTCCCATTGCAATACGACCTCTACCTTAGACGGATCCATTTCTAATCCACCACTAGAAATTACACGTCCTAGGAAACTAACTTCTTTCAACCAAAACTCGTACTTCAAAAACTTATCATACAACTTCTTGTCTTTCATGGTTTGTAATATTATCCTCAGACGTTCTGCATGTTCTTTCTCATACTTAGAATACACAAAGATGTCATATATAAACACTGTGGAAAACTGATCCAAATAGGGGTTGAAAATCTTTTTCATATACTCCATGAACACTCCCGACACATTAGTCACATCGAAAGGCATAACTGAATACTCATAATGGCCATAATGAGTCCTAAACTTAGGAATATCTTCTAACTTCACTTGGATCTGGTGGTGACCTGATCTCAGATCTATCTTACTGAACATGCAAGCACCCACCAACTAATCATAAGATCATAGATTTTATGAAGAGGATACTCATTCTTAATAGTAACTTTACTCAACTGCTGATAATCCAACACAACCTCATGGTTCCGTCTTTCTTTTTAACTACCAGCACCGATACACCCCACAATGATACACTAGGTCTTACAAATTGCTTCTCCAATAAATCTTATAGTTGATTCTTATGCTCACTCAATTATGATGCAGACATTTTTTAAGGTGCCATGGATATAGGTCTAGTACCAGGTCCTAGATCTATTGAAAATTCAACCTCATGGTCAGGTGGAAAACTATAAATGTCCTTCGAAAATACTTTAGGAAAAGCGCACGCCAGAGGAAAATCATCGATTAAAGCTTTGCTCTTTACTTTCAAGGAATCGAGCATCTTGTACACTTGAGCATCGTATTTCAATTATAACTATACTTAGTTGGTGGCAATAAATCTCTAATCCTTACTGTTGCACCCTAAAATTTGACCAACCGGTTCCCATATCTGGTTTATGTTTCAACGCATTTTGCATTCGCATTCGTATACGGCATGCATTGCATTTTTATCAGTCAGATGGATTTTATCGGGATTACAGCCCCTGGCGTTTCAGACAGTTCAGGCCGGTTGGAATAAAAGTCTGTTGAGAATTGGTGTTCGTCTCCTGTGTTTTCAGGCCATCTCGGGGCCCGGGTTTTGCTACGGTTGCGCAATTGGGTTTTAATCGGTTTAATCGGCTTCATGGCATTTTTAGGATTTTTTTTTTATTTTTCTGGATTTTTAATGCATTTAATTGGATTTTTCTGGATTTTATAGATTTTAATATTTTTTTTAGAGTTTAAATAAATTTTCTTTTCATTTTTTAGAAATTAATAGATTTTTAAAAATTTTTAGGTATTATTTTCTTTTAATAGAATAGACTTTAAAAATAAATTTTTAGATATTGATTTCCTTTTAATGGTTTTTTGAAAAAAAAATAATAGATATGAATAGATAATAATTTTCTTTAATAGAATAGTTTTAATAGAATTTTTTAAGTATTATTTTCTTTTAATAGGATGGTTAGGTTTTAAATATAAAAAAGATTAATTGTTTTAGATTTTTTAGAGTTTATTAGACTTTTTTCAGATTTAATTAGGGTTTTTAAAATAGTTGTTAGATATTTTTTTGATTAATTAGGAGTTTATGTTTTAATTTTCGTTTTTTAGTTAATTAGGTTTATAATAGATTTTAATTAGGGTTATTTTTAATTTTCCTTTAGGATTTAATGGGTTTTTTTTCAGTTTAATTTTGTTGTGTTTTTGGAGCTAATCAGAGTTTAAGTGCACTTAATCACGTTTTAATCCTTAAGTCACAGGTTTAGTCTATTGGGCCAGAGTCATTCAAGCCTAGTCAGAGGGTCCACACGCCACTTGTCATATAAAAGCAACGCCACGCGTGCGGTTTCGGGCCCGCCACCTCATTCATCCCTTCACCCAGAGGAGGCCACGTTTCACTTTGAGACTCTCTCTCCTCCACACGTGTCCTCCTACCACTCTCCCTCTCGCCACCTGTCCCACTACCCACTCCGCCGGAAACCCTTCACCGCCGGCCATGCAAAGACCGGCGGCCACCCTAACCAACTGCCGGCGTTCACCCTAACCGCCTCCGACCACCGCCAACTGCCACCGGAATCTGCAAAAAAACCCAGAATTCCAAAGAATTCATCTAACTTCATCTTCTTCTCCGATCTACTTCCGATCAACCTTCATCAGCAATTATCCAAACTCGCCGGAAAATCCATTGATGTTCATCATTCTTCAAACATTGTTCCAGAACCATTACTCCTTCATCATCAAGATCTTCACGCGTGCATCATCG